CGAAGGGGAATTTAGATTCCTAGCCTTCTCACCAACATGTCTCGAGATGGGACGAAAGCTGGAAGAAGACTGAACATACTTATATCTCTGTCTCCTTCCTCTCCAAGACCACCTCTGTCCGCCATACCTCCTTCTACCCCTGACCACTGGGATCACCAGCCTAGTGCTGGCACCCTGAATGATACTAACCTGTTCTATTATCTGATTCCCTCCTCCCCCTCTGTCCTCCCAGCAGCCCACAGTACAATAAATAATTTTCATGCAACAACAATCATTCAGTTTGCATCCAAGCAGGCAGAATTAAAACTCCTATACTAGACTATGGTTATGTTGTAGGTATGTACGGCTATCTTTCAGCTATGCTCCTGCAGAGTGCAGGGGGTTGGGCTAGATGACCTGCAAGGTCCCTTCCAACTCTTTAACATTCTATGATTCTATGACTCCCTCCCACCAAAACCTCCTTCTTACTATCCCCACCCCTCTTAGTAAGACTAATAAATTTAAATAATGGGCAGGAAAACACTTCCTGCCACTACCTAATTAGCCCTACGTTTTAAATTTAAACACAACATTTAGGGACACAAAAGCTATTTGTGTCATTTCAGTCTCCTTATACCATCTGGGGTCTACAGCTAAGGAGGAGGAGAAGGCTACAAAGATAGGGTGGATATCCTTCAAAGTAAGAGAGTAAAACTCTTTATGAGTAAAACTCATAGTAAAACTCTTTATGAAAGTAAAACTCTTTATGAGTTTTAAAACTTAATGAACATTGTATTTATTATTTATTTATGCTGAATGTTTTAATATTGATTTTTTATCATTTTAATTGGTTTTAAAATTGTACTGAATTTATGTTGTTATAAACTGCCCTGAGCCTTGCAAAAGTGGGTAAGGGTGGTTAAGAAATCAAAGGTAAAAGGTAAAGGTTCCCTTCCTCAAAAGCTATGGTACCTATTTATCTACTTGCAATGTCTTGCTTTCGAACTGCTAGGTTGGCAGGAGCTGGAACTAGAGACAGGAGCTCACTTCCGTCATGCGGCAACTCGGGTCTTGAACTACTGACCTTCCACAGCCTGCAGTTCAGCATCTTAACCACTTGAGCCACCGCAGCTCCCCAAGAAATCAAAAGATATAAGTAAATAAGTAAGTAAATACATAAATACATAAATTTATATTTTAACAGACTGTTATTTTGCCTTCTTCCCCCGCCAAATCCCTTCTCAGCAAAACGGGTACAATTTCATTAGGAGCTGGATTTGAGGAAATATGCACATAGCTGTCAAGAAATATTTATATTTAAGAACATGCCCCAAGCTGCCATTTCCAGAGAGACCACTGGTCAGATGATCACATTAATCTGGTAACCGGTTCCTTCTCCTGAAGTCTAATCTCTGCATCATGATTCCTGATCATGACATCAGGAGTTTTTTTTATCATAACTCCTAGCATAAACAAAGATTAACTACCTTCTACATATTTTTTTTTACATTTCTTTCTTTCTCTGCTCCTCTGACCTACAGGTTTTGAGTAGTATCAATCAATCTCAACTAGGAAAAAGAGGAACAATTCAAAGTCAGAGAAGACAGGCTAGACCATATTAGAAAAGATGTCTTGTCATAAGCTGCCTGAACAAGGAATTTAGCTAAGAAAAGAATATTTGTTGGCCTAGAAATCCACTAAAGTTTAGTAACAGTAACTAGAATATCTCCAGGCACATAAGTGGTTTAATCCACTTCTCTCTAGCCTCCTTATATCACAGACAATCAAATAGAATATGCTTCACTGTTTCTATGATCCCCAAACCACAACCACAGTATTTATCTGAAAATGGTATACCTAACATACAGCCTTCAGAGATCGCAGATGGTAGTACATTTAATTTTGTGAGCATAATTGCTTGTCTTTAACTTGAAACTGTAAGGTTAAACAAATATTTTGGGATTGCAAAGAGTGGCAGGATTCCCATATGGAGAAGAGAGCAAATGCACCTAGCCCAGCAGATGGTACCACTGATATCAGTCTTCACCATCAACTGCTTGATAGTCTTATGGGCTGGGAGCCATCCTGACGCAAAAACTACTTCCTCTGGGCATCACATGATATTATTTTTTCCTATTATCTTATATCAAAGCATCTAACTCTGATGTGCTGAAATTTTCTTTTTAAAAAAATCAAATCTATGTTAATCTATGACTCATTTCAAATCAATGAATTTTGGGCCAGAACTGGCTGAATCTTGTCTTTCTAGGCCTTAGTGCTCCGCTTGGCTTCTCTCTTATCCTCCTCAGCCCCAAGAATGAAGAAAAGATGGGGACGGGGGGCGGGGGGGGGAGTCAAGAAAGATTTTTAATATAATTATAAAGTGACATGTGGAGTTGGCATGGATTTTGGACCTATGGAGAGGCTCAGTAACTGAAAGTGAGTAGAATTAAGGATGAATGATTTCCAAGATTCAGGGCTGAATCCTGAGAATCTGTTCCAGCAGGGCAGGCATTTGCTCCATCAGAAGATCCTTCCCTGTGGTGCCAGGCGCTCATCCAAGCAAGTTTAATTTTGTCAGTGATCAAGAGCAGCCACTGATCTCTACTCACCTGCTGAAGCATCACCATCAGGCCAGCTAAACTGTGCAATTAAAATCCCTCCAGAAGGAATCCCATGAAGATGAAGAGCCAGGATGAGACCGTCAAGGACGGTCATTGAGCAGTTTCCGTGGCAGACGCATCCTGCTCCCCCCCTCAATGGGGCTGGTGCTAAGGTGGGCTGGGCCTAACTGGCAGCCGAGCAGGACAACCCAGGCGACACGTGGGGTGACGTGAGCTCCCTGCAGGGCACAGGGGTTACAAGCAGAACTGGGAACAGGACAAAAGAAGGATTTTGCCTGAGTCCCTGTAGATCAGTGGTCTTCAACATGGTGTCCATCCATGGGAGCCATGGTGCCCAACAACATATTTTCTGGTCTCCCCACTTGCTTCTTCCCTCTGAAAACCTCTTCCACAAAGCTAAGAGCCAACCTTGGATGTCCTACAACTCACTGGAACAGAAGAAGACACCTTTGGGTCACCCATTCAGAAATATATGGCCCCACCACAGGACAACACTTTCACCTTTTCTATGACTCCCCCATCACCTAGCAAGTATCCAGTGGCTGGTCCTGCCACTTTGTGGTGATACGTGCTGCCATTTCTCTACAATCTGAGAGTGCCCTGAGGGCTCAGCAAGGTAAAGCTGAGGTCCCCTGCTCCAGATCTTGCGTCTCCTTGTTAATTTATCAGCCGTCTTTGGTAGATGCAGAACTGATCAGTGACAGGAGACAGGGCTACTTTATAAAGCATTGTTTGGGATACTTTAAAAATAAATAAATTGTGTGCATAATGACAATTATTAGAAGACTGTGGGGTTTCTTCATTCTTTCCTCCCCAAAATGCTGTATCTTTACAGCGAGGTTAGGGCTGCTGCTTCAGATTGCTGTTCACAGGCATGCACTGTAGGTAATTTGCGTAGAATCAGTCAATCACATTTCTATCTGACGTTCAAAGGAGCTGAGAGGAACACAATTTGAAGGGGTGATCCTATTTGGTCTTCAAAACAGCCCTGCGAGGTAGGTCAGGCTAGGAGAAAATGACTGGCTCAAGCTCATTCTCTGAATTTCATGTTCTCAGCAGGGACACAAAAGTAAAGTACAATGACTGAACCTGCTCCTTTTGAGCCTCCCATCCTTGGAAAATACACACAACACCGTCATCTCCCCACCTTTTATGTATCCTGCCTCTTGAGAGTTTCCACACACCATATAAATCTGGTTTCATTCAATCAAGGCTTACTGCTACACACTTGAAACCATCCACATTCCTCTTGCTAACTCCCTTTTCTTTTTCTTTACAATCCAATCACTGTTGTAACATTTGCTCGTCACAAGCACAAGCACAGCTCCTTTCCAGCCAGCCTGCTCTTCTTCTAAGGCTTGACTGAGGCAGGGTCCATAGGTGACTCCTTTTCTTGACGGTCTGCATCAGGCAACGAAGGGGTTGCTATTTATGAGTCAAATTAAATTGTAAGAGTCTTCTTCTTTGGATGGTCCTAACTGACTTCCGCATCCACAGAGAACAAAAAAAGTTGCCATCAAAACGTTAAAGACAAGAAAACTTATGACTAAAAATACATATACAAAAAAGACTGAATGAAGCCAATTTTCTGGCAATACAAATGATCTCTTTTGCATTTGATAAAATCCGCGATATTCCTCTATACAAGATCAACACTGCAAAGATAAACATCTCATAGACATGAACAACACCACAATAATGTCTGACGTTAGTTTTCCACATCTATTCAGAATCTATTTTGGCTCTGAGTATGCTGAGGGCAGACTCCTTCATGTCTTAATTGCCACAACTGATTTCATTGCTGTATGCAGGGTTCCAAATGTACAGCTATTCTTGAGAGGACGCTCCACAACTAAGACTTGCACAACAACGCAGCTGATGTGTGTGAGATCATGCATGGTTACAGTACAGATGGATCAATGGTACAGACAGCTTGGCTGAAATGCACAATATGGTTTTACACGGAGGGACACAAGAGAATTCATGAACGAATGAGCATGTGTGTACACATATGTAGGGGAGAACCAACCTATGCTCAATATCTCAGCCCCCAAATTAAGCCATCCCATGATAAAGGCCCATGAACCTCATCAGAAAATATTTCCCTGCCCTTCTCTAACTTGCATGGCTTTCGCAAAAACACCTCTTCTGAGAGCCATCGTACATTTTGTTCGAAAGAGAAGTTTAAGAGTGCAAAAAAGTTAATAGAAGTAAGTAAAAGAAGTGAAAATGCACACACTGTTTGGGAACATTTTCTGCACTCAGACCTTGGCACCTTTGTTCTAACTATGAATTCAGTTATGTTTTCCAACAGATACAGATCCATGGGTGTTAAAACAAAGCACTTGCCTCGGCAAGGAAAAGAGCGGAGACTGCCGTTGCCACAGTTCCACCTACCTGTGCTAGTGCGGTAGGTGCCTGTGTGTGCTGGCTGAAGAGGGTCCCCCTGGCTCTGACTGAGACTCCTCATAGGGGGCTTCTGGTAGACGCGGTCTTCATAAATAGGGTCTATGTGGTGGTGCTCGGGGGACTGCAGCGCCCTCAGCTCGGCGCCCAGGTGGCTGTGCTGGCTGGTGTATGACGCCCGGGATCCAGCTGCAAGACAGACAGAGGCAGGTGGGGGAAAACAAACAAACAAACAGGACGGCGGAAAGAGCAAACTGATCCCTGTAAAACCAAGTCCCCAAAAGGCAGATGTACCACGGAAAAAAGCAACGGGTTGATAAAATATAAGTAGAAATGCCATGACAAGACAGCCACAGCTTAGAGCAAAGCATGCTGCTGACATGCCCCGGAATTCAATTGTTCTGCAGACAGAGTAGACCCCAGAGAGGTATGGCAGACGACACCTCACAGGTAAGAGTAGCGCACCCACCTCCAGGGAGCATAGTTCAAGGGTGGGAGATGTCTGCGTGAGACAAGCTGCCTCCTCTTACAACTAATTATGGTTTGAACAAGGTCCAAGCTAATAAAAACCTCTAAATGTACAGGTAAGATTAAATGCAAGTCTTCCATGCACAGGAAATGAAAATTCTGTTGGCCTCCGAACAGATGTAAACTTATCATGTGGTATCACGCCATGCTCCCTCTAAAGCTGTGGAGCCTTGTGAGCAAAAATTCTGCTTTGTGAGCGACTGGCCTTAAAGTTGTGAGCGAGCGATCTGGCCGCTGCATCAATTAGTTTTCTCTGGAGCCCGATCCTTCCTGAGCTAAGACAAAAATCTGTGAGCTGGAGGCTAGCTCAGACCAACTCAGCTTAGAAGGGACACTGATCACAGGGCATAGTGGAGACATTCATGACAGAAGCCAGCAACAGCCACAGCAAAAGCTGCTCAGCTCTCCGGTTCTGGTGCTAAATGTGGTGGAGCATGACAGAACTGCCTCCTCCAATGTGGACAATAACATCACCGGTACAAGTCCTGCTGACAGGGAAGAATGGGAACTTTGTGTGTGATGCTTCATTCACAAAACTCAGTGGAGGATCCAATCATTTGACCACCCCCACTTTCAGAATGGAGCCTCGTTCCTATGGGAACAGGCTACCGTGCCACACTAGAGGCAAATGTGACGTGGGCTACACCTGTCGCATGTGCAGCAGAGGCACATGAGGCACAGCCTCAACGGGATCCGCCTGTCACAGACAACTGCAGCCACGCTGAGGACCCTTTCCTGGGAGTAAGCCGTACTGAATAAAACAGGACTTGCATCCAAGCAAGCTTGCTGGCTTTGCTCTGGATCCCAAACAAAGCAATAATCTAATCATAGTGATTCTTATTCTTATTCAAAGAATTGTCCTGATATCTGTCAAGACAGATATTGGTGATAGTTTGTGTGGCTGTTTCCCCTAGACCGCCAGGGGCTGTCCCTCATCTTCTGCACACAACTGTTGTTAGCAGCATACTGGCTGGAATGAAACCTATACCAGTTATCGGTCCGATACAAATATCAAGCCACTAAAAAGAGGGGAGAATTGAGAAGTGTCCTCTTGGGCAGAATTATGAGAAGGACTGGGAGCTCTCTTCGCCCCGGGATACCACAGTTCCATGTGAAGAGGACACTGGCCAAGGAGGACACGTTCTCTCTGGTCCGTTTCTTACAGGAAGACTACAAACTTCCTCTTGTTTTAAAGCCACTCTAAGGATGCGGCCACATGCACAAGATAAACCAGGGCGGAAGCGAGGCTATTCCCTCCGGAGGGAACTGACCCGCAGTTGTGTGATCACACAGTCTTTTGAAGCTGCGGGGGCCGCCCGCCACTGCGTGATCAGATGCAACCGCAGGTGAGCCAGGGTTGTTGGGTTTTTTTTTTTTTGCCATTTGCTTCCACTTCGCTTAAACGGGGAACCGATGAATGGAGTGTGCGATGATGCGCATACTGAGAAGGGGCACGGAGTCCGGACAGCGCGATCAGTCCATCCTGACGCTATGAGAGCACGCTGGAGTGATCAGAGCGGGGAAAGTCCATCCATGGCCCATCGCAACCCGTTTGCTCCCGGACTTTCCCTGGTGGTCTTTTTACTCCGCTTATGCGGTGGAGCAAAATGGTTTGCTGAAAGGTGCGGGACGCTTCCCAGATGTTCGTGTCTGACTGCACCCTTTAAATTCGCCCGGCATTCGCGCTTATGGCACAGCTAACTGTGCTTGTGATTGCACCCTAATACTCTGGTGAAGATTTCCCAGCACCCAGAGATGGACTATCATAAATGAAACGAACACTTTCAACAAGTTCCATTCCTAACTGTGTTCCATTATTTTGAATTTCTTTCTGAGTCTTCCATGAACTATGCTTAGGCTATTTTCTCACATCTTTTGGTTGGTTCTCTAAACCACACAAGACACATCGGGGGGGGGGGGATTTCAAACCCCAAACAGCTTGGGTGTGTTTCTTACTAGAAATTGCAATTCTTTCCATTTCCTCAGAGACATATTTGAAATATCTGAAAGAACTATAATATTTTGTCCATCTATTTTAAGCTCCGGATTAATGCTAAATTTAGTCCATAATGTTAGAGAGATGTTATTATTGATGTCAGTGCTATTAAATTTGACAAGTATTTCAAAGGTAAAGGTTCCCTTGCTTGAAAGCCAGTCGAATCCGACTCTAGGGTTGCAGTGCTCGTCTCCGTTTCAAAGCTGAAGAGCCAGCACTGTCTGAAGACGTTTCCGTGGTCATGTGGCCAGCATGACTAAACACCAAGGCGCACGGAACGCTGTTACCTTCCCACCGAAGTAGTGCCTATTTATCTACTTGCAATTTCTTGCTTTCGAACTGCTAGGTCAGCTTTCGAACTGCAAGGTTGGCAGGAGCTGGAACTAGAGACGGGAGCTCACTCCGTCATGCAGTACTCGGATCTCGAACGGCTGAACTACTGACCTTCCACAGCCTGCAGTTCAGGGTCTTAACCACTTGAGCCACCGCAGCTCCTTGACAAGTATAACCCTGGGCAAATTCCTTCTTTGCATCCCCTTGCTATTGATTCTAAAAGCAGATTATGTTCCAATGTCCTCACCAAACTCTGAACTCAAACAATCTGTAAAGAGGTCGGTAAGGTATCCTGTTACATTATTTCCTTCAGCTCCTTTTTTTAATGGTCTCGTTTATAAATTAGGTTTCCTTAATTTATTATCAGTTTCTTCAATACAATCTATTTTTTATTTTCCTCTTCTATACCCAGAAAGGTCTTCCAGTAAGATTCTAAAGGCCTTTTTCTAGTTTTTATTATTGTCTCGTTGACAATTTTTATGTTACTCTCCTTCAGTTCTTCTTCTGCTGTGGCTGAGCTTATTTTAAGCTTGTCTTCAATTGACTGCAGCTTTGTTTCCACATCATGAAATCCATGATCTATTTTTTTTTAGTTCTTCCACCCTAGTTGTGATATGTTTTCAGTGATATATTATCAGTTCACCCCAACTGCCACATCATGCTTGCTTTAAAATGGCTTTAATGTTATTTATGGGGATGGGATTTATCAAAGTCGGCCCGTTTTCGGTGAGGATGGCTCACTGCCTGTCTAGTCTCCGTGGCATCCTGACAGCGGAGGGTACGAGGGCCCCTGCTTCCCCCACCGTCTGCAGTAATGCCAGATCAGTGAATCACAACACTGCACACCTCTAGGAGATGCTGCAGGAAGGAGGAGTTGTGATGTGGCTTGCTCAGCAGAAACATGGTTGGAGAAAAAGAATGTAGCATGTCTGGCTAGTCCTACACCAACCCCGCTATTATCCTCTGTGAGTTCTGCAGCTTCCACAGAATTCCGGCACAAACGATCACTAGCACTGGCTGTATGCTGCTCCTTACATTAGGAACTGAGGAGAGGTTACACATTCCTCTTGTCTACCAGCTGCCGCCCTCTATGAGTCGGCAGAGGTATTGATGACTGTGGTGCTGATTATTTTGGAGGTCTCCCAACACTCATGCTGAGGATACCTTGCTGGGGCTGGACCAGGATTTTATTGCTTCTTTGACTGCTTTGGGCCTCTCTCAAATTGTGCTGAGCCCAACACATGAAAAAGGTTCACACCTTGGAATTTATTTTCTGCACTGAAACACTGAGGGAAGGCTTGGCTTCAGCACTGGTGATCAGGAGCGTTGATGTGAGCTGTGACACAAAGAGTGAGACACCTCTTTCGAGCCCCAAACCACACTAGAATCAGGAGACCACCACAACCCTTTCCGTGCTCCATCTGTGTAGCCACAAAACAGCAGCCCACTCCAGAGGCATGGCCCCTCATGTCCCCAGTGCAACGCCCTGGAAAACATTTCAACCTACCAGATATGCACAAAGCTCCTTGGAGGAGCTCCTTTCTGTCACAGAAACATCAAATACCTCCTCATTTCCAAAACCACCCATAGCCACTTCATGAATAGACACAATTTAAGCTGCTTCAAGGAGTTTCTGGCCACGTGCCTATGGCTTGTCTGCCCTCAGCCTTGGCATGTCATACCCAATTAATATGTGGAATTAAATACTATGGAGTGTGACAATGACCACTCACTTAGATAGTTTTAAAGAAAGGCTTAGATACATTCTTGGAGGACAGATAATGTCCAGTAGCTCTGACAGTCAAATGGAAGCTTCATGTATAGTTAAAATGTACCTTTTGTATGCCACATGCCAGAAGCAAGCAACCTGTATGCCTTGTCTGTAAGTTCCCAGAGACATCTAGCTGACTGCTAATGGAAATCAAATCCAGGAATCCAGTTTTGTACTTACGGACGTGTGTATGTGTATAGAGCACATGGACAACAGCTCATCTGTGCTTGGGTTTTATACTCCCAGATAGGAGGAAAACGCAGATGCTATACAAAGCCCCTTGTGGGCAGCATGAAGCTTAGCAGAATGCAAGCTTTGCAAGCCATGCACTCCTGTGACACATTCTTGCAAGTTGGTCCACCAACACCACCACCAGATTTGCAAAATGGGACAATGTTTTCACACAATATTTAATGTCACCCTACGCAGAGCTACACCCTAGAAGCCTGTTGACTACAATAGTCTTAGAAGGGTATCGTGTTGTTTATGATGCCACTGTAAATAACCCATTCTTCCATTTAAGGTGACGAGTTGATGACCACCAGCACAGCTAAGACCCGG